AAGGTGTGATTAACTGAGGATTGACTTGTAGGAGGGATTTGATTTGTAGAAGTTTGGTTATTAAGGGAAGTGGCTGATCTTCCATTAGTAACTGTGTCAAATAAAGAACCAGAAGCAACAAAATGTTTGTTGAGGCAGTTCAGGATCTCGTGCTTATTTGACACAGGAACAGAGTTAACGAGAAGTTGTGATGGGAGGTCAGATGATTGGGGGGTGCCTGAGAGAGATTTAATTGTTTTCCAGAATCTGTTAGGGTCATTTAGATTTTTGGAAGTCTGAGATAAGAAATAGTTTCGTTTTGCTGCTTTGACAGCAGTTGTGCATTTATTCCTCATCTGTCGAAAACTCAACCAATCAGTGTCTGAGTCAGATTTTCTCGCTGCAGCCCAAAGATGATCTCTCCTGTGCAGGAGGTCAGCTAGCTCTGGAGTAAACCAGGGGCTGTCTCGTCCCATAGTTTCATCAGTCTCCATGATGACATCCCTCACCTTATCCACAAAGTCCATGGTGTTCTGTATGTGGTGTTCTGAGCTGCCAACTAAAGGGATGAGTACAGACGCCAGATATTTGGAAACATTGTAAGTGACAGAGTTAATCATGCTAACAATTGGTCTTAAAGGTACACCTTGTTTGTGGATTTTAGGTAAACCATACAGACTAGGTGTGGCCTCCCCTGGGTACAGTCTGTGGTACAGAATACGGCCAATAGCCTTGTCCTGCTCCAAAATTTTCAGGCAATCTATCAATTTCTTCTTGTAACCACTTCCTGGATCTCTTTTCAGAGGTTAAGTGTTTAAGTCACTAAGGAGTGTCATAACTTTCTCATGGTAGTCTTTCTGGTTCAAAATCACTGTGCACCTTCCTTCGTCTGCTGGGAGAATGATGATGTTTTTGTCCTTGCTAAGAGTGGTGAGTGCGACCCTCTCCTCTACTGACGTTGGAAGGTGGTGGTTTGGCATTGCTGAGGCAGGCTGAAACTTTGATTCTGAGCTGTTCTGCTTCAGCCTCTTTAATTTTGTTTTTGCGGATGGCTGATTCTGTAGCTGTGATCATCTCCACCAAAGGAATTCTACTTGGTGCAACCGCAAAGTTCAGTCCCCTGGCAAGAATCTCTGTCTCCGGCTGGGTGAGCTGTCTGTCAGATAAATTCTTCACCCACTTTTCTGTCTCCCTGGCATGTAATTGACTACTTGAGTGTTGTCCTACACTGAATGTGTTGTTATTGGAATAGTGATGGTGTTGATGAGTTATTAGTACGTTAAACTTGTTTTGTTGTTGAGTCTTGGACTTGACATGCTGTGCTATGCATGCCTGATCTGTACAGTCCATCACTTGCTGAAGTGTGGTCTGATCTAGACACATAGTTAGTTTCTGTTTAATGTGCTCTTCCTTGGCCTTCAAGGCCTCAATTGTAAAATTGGTCTGTCTCACCCGTTCATTCAGCAGCTGGGTTTGTGCCTTCTGAAGGATCTTGCTTGCCCGGTGCCCGCTGACCGAAGATTTTAGTTCCAGGCTCTTGGGAATGATGCCACTTTGTCGACATCTGAGGTTGAATCACAAATGGTTCCTGTAGTCTGCCCTCTTCCTTGAGGTTTTCTCAAACTCTCTAACTAGTTTGAGGCAATCCTGGCCAAAGTGGTTCAAAATATCCTGATGCATGCTCAATAATCCAGGTAGAAAAATCAGATAGAAGCGAATAAATGAGCAGGGCGATGACCACGCGGCCGCAGTGCAAATATCCTGCATTGTCATACCATTATGTAAGGCTGTCGAGGATGGGATTCCTCTGGTTGAGTGCGCCCTGAGGTTGTCAGGGGGCTCTAAACCTGATGCTCTGTAAGATTCAGAAATGGCCTCACACAGCCAGTGTGACAGGAGCTGGGTAGATAACGGGTGACCTGCAGAGGCGTCTCTATAATGCACAAACAAATGTGGAGTCTGACGCAGTGTGGCCATGCGTGCTACGTAACATGCCAACGCACGCACAAGATGAAAAGATGCTTCTTCTGATTTGTGGGGAGGAGGGAAAAAACCTCCAACGTTATCATTCTTGATTTAAATGAGCTCGTGATGTTTTTAGGCATGAACGCTGGGTTAGGTCTCAGATCAGCTGAACTGCCATCAGCTTGAATCCTGAGGCATGACGGCGCAACAGAGAGGGCAGATAAATCACTCAACTCTCTTCGCGGATGCCAAAGTCAACAGCAGGGCTGTTTTAAGTGACAAGAATTTAATCGAAACCTGATCTAACAAAAGGAGCTTTGATCAGGGCTCGCAGAACCATTGTTAAGTCCCACTGTGGAGCTAATGGACGTGACACCGGTCTGTGCCTCTGTACACCTTTTACAAAACGCTTCATCAGCGGGTGACTAAAAACTGTTCTGTCACCGAAACCTTCGTGACAAGAAGAAACGGCTGCAGCATACGTTTTAATTGTGCTGAACGCCAGATTTCTGTCCATCAACTGCTGCAGAAAGGACAGCACGCCACCTAGTGGACATGAGATGGCCTCTACACCTTTCTCCGTACACCAGCGTTGAACAGCTGTCCACTTTGATGTGTACAGCGCTGTGGTGGAGGCAGCGCGTGAATCCTGGACTGTGCGCACTACTTCTTGAGAGAGACCCATCTTCTCTAAGCGGATCCGCTCAGCGGCCAGACCCAAAGGTACTGGCCTATTTCTGGTCGACTACTGATCGCTCCCGCCTGGAGGAGAGCATTGTCCCTCCACGGCAGTTTCCACGGACGGCCCGATAACAGACGTCGCAGGATTGGAAACCACGGGGCGCTCATGCACTCGGGGGCTATCAGAAAGGCCGACAGTTGGTTCAGAAAATAAAAAGGCGACGGCGTCGTCCAGCGAACAGTCCCCCGCCGTGGAGAGGCGCTCCTCAACGTCAGCCTTGAACACGGCTGATCGCCTGTCTCTCCTCAGGAGGGAGGAGGTCACAGAGACAGCAGGAGGCGGCGAGGTCGGCGTGGCAGGGACCTAGGCATCCTTCGCAGGTGTCGTGCCGGTCAAAACTCGGCATGTAGCCGGTCTTGCAGGACGGGCACAGGCGGATGGTGTTGGTGCTGGACATCGTGTTCTTGGAAGATCAGTGCTGGTTGCTTGCTGAAGAAAAATGGGAGCCGATTACCCGCTCTCAACGTAATTTATATGGACCGGGTGGGGCCCACACGACAGGTGGGCGTGGACAGTGCTACGCTTTGCGTAACGGGATAAAACCCACTAGCGAGGGCCTTAAAGGGTGAAGCCTATACGAAATAGAACTGGTTGGCAGACCACAGAATGATGAAGTCTTCCAGATGGAAGACAAAACGTTTCTCCCTTAAAGAAACTGGTCCAGATTAAATTATTTACCCTTGTTTTTTGTTATCTACCTGGATGATTGAGCTTACAAACCTTTTTCTTCGAGTTTGAGTTATTGTAATTTTTTTATTTTCTCTCTGTTCTCTGGTGAAGCCAGACGTATCTCCCTGGGCTCCCCCCGCTTTCCTGCTTGCAGTCTTCATCCTGTGAACCCTTAAAGAGCCTCTTTTTTTCTGCATACCTCCTAATTTGAAGGATCAGCTGGTCTCTCAACAAAATTGATCAACTTCTCCCAACAGGAGTCAGGGTAAGGAGGACCCTCTTACCTCGGCGGAAATAAATTGGATTCAAGTTGACAACTGTTTTTTTTTTTTTTGCTGTTTGGCTGGTGAATTCTGGATTGTCTATAAATTCGTGTGAATGTGTCGAAGTTTGACAGCGCTTAGACTGAATTATGTGCAATTGCATCAGAGAGCTGGAGCAGCTGTTATCAGGACTGTGAACTCTCTAGCAGCACACATGAAGATGGGAAATAATCTTGGAGAAGCTGTGAGCTCGACTTTTGGTGTAAAGGATCAATTTGACTGTGTTGGGAGTTTCCATCAGAGGAATATATACCAGCGAGACTTTCAAAGGCAGAAACAGCAATTCACGAGTTCTGCCTGACCCAAACTGTGGCCTCGACGCCAGACTTATCTCAACTCCTCCTGGCATGTTTTGAAAACAACAAAGATGCTTTGTCTGTCTTCTCAACCTTCCCTTCCCTAAGGCTGTAGACATGTGACAGAACCTCACCCAAGCTGATTAACACCTCTTATCTGGACTATGCTACAACTTTCCTTTAAAAATTCAATGTTTTCACCGGCCTATATGTACATGTATAACATCTATTTATGTTGCTTTGCTGTAGTAGTTTTTTTTTATGCCTCAAATCGTGCCCCGTCTAGGACACGGAGTGAGAGATCTTTTTTTATACCGTCTCTCCTCATGTTTTCTTCCCTTTTCTCATCTCAGCAAAATATTATTCTGAATAAGAATAAGAGGGCTGCACTTTTTTTTATAGTAGTAGCTTCGTGCACTCTGCCCATCTTTCGGATGACTGTACATACATGTTCTCGTTGTATCTCGGTGCAATGATAATAAAGCTTATTCTGATTCAGGTCGGGTTGCTCTGAAAGTTTCTCAAACAACCAGTGACTCCAACACGCCCCAGGGCGGCTGTGGCTGAGTGGTTAGAGCAGTCAGCCTCCAATGCAAGAGTTGGAGATTTGAATCCACCAACAGTCACATGCCAAGTGTCCCTGAGTAAGACACTGAACCCTTCATTGCTTCCGATGTGTGATCTCAACGAAAATAATTGCCAAGTCTTCGTGCGAGTTAGTTCACTGTGGCAACCCCTCAAGAAGGGAGCAGCAGAAAGAAGAAAAAAATAATTACCAGGGAAATCTCACTGAGGTCACAGATCAACAAAGTCCAATAATCCAGGTATATAATCGAACAATTTTCAGGTCACAGATCTTTTGCAAGGGAGGTCTGGGCCTGAAGGCAACCTAACATACATGTTTTTGGAGTGTAGGATTAAAATTGGGGTACTTGGAAAAAAACCCACACAAACACGAGAATATGCAAACGACCCCAGGTCCAAACCAGAGATAGAACCCACTAAGCCTTTTTAAAATCTCTTTTATTCTGAAAAAATAAAAACAATAAGTGCAGTTTCTAATTCCTTTTTAAGGACTCTTTGATTGACTGTCTGCAGACTCTCTGTTGCAGCTGCTATAATCTTTATAAACATCCAGTTCCCCATAAAGGCCCTCCAGCATGGCCAGAACTTTGCTCTGGATCAATTCCACCTGTTCAGCCGGGCAGTATTCATCCAGACTGGACCTGGAAACACAAACAAAAACATTTGAAATATCTCTCCAGCCTTCGTACAGTTTTAAGATGTCAGGTGTGTTTACCTCACCTGGACATCGTCACGAGTGTGGGTGTGAGCAGATTCTTGAGGAAAAGCTGCACAGCAGACACAAGTCCATCGATCTCCTCCTCAGAACTGACGTGGTGAGGCAGCTCCACAGAGTCACAGGTTAACCCTGCCTGATGGACCTGAAAGTGCATTGAGATCAAATGAAGAGAGTTCAAAAGAACAAGAAAACCAAAAAGCAGAACTTTTTCATGCATGTTTTTATTTTGTGTTTGGGTTGTCTTTTAGAATGTTCTTCTTCATTACAGATCAGATCTTGTAAGGATCCTGCTGGGTTTAAAAAGTAGTACTATAATGACTGGAATATGTCTTTGTGTTGATTGTGCAATGGCATGCGACTGGATTAACATTTCACCAACTTTAACCAGAAACCTCCCTGTCCACGTTAGGAGTGATGTTTGAGTTATGCTGGATACACATGGAAACTTTGGTATGTATTGTTATTTTGGAACAAGCTTGCACTCAGTTTACCTCGTAAAACACAGATGGAAGAAGACAGAAGATTTTTTTTCCCCTTAAGTTGTCTTTTGAACTGTTCAAAGATCCATTAAATCAGGAGTGCCCAATATTGTACGTCGATCACGATCTACTGGTTGACCTCAAAGGTATTATGGGTAGATGGCATGGCATTAAAAAAATAGATGTCAATCTATCATCCATCTATGAAATTTGTCACTTGATTGACATACAAGGGCAGCCAGTCTGAGGCCCCGTTTACACGACGTGAAACGTTCGTTCATTTACAGACAACAGCCCTCATCCTCTCTGAAACTGAAAGTTTCTGAATCCAGGTCTCAGAGTGGAGATTCTCAGGGGAACCCACTACGGAGGTGTAAAATGCTCCGCAAGTGTGAAGTCACGCGTGCGCACTACAGGCGGTTGCAGTCCAAAGTTTTTCTGCTCTAACAACAGTTATAATAAATGGCTGAGAGCAGAGTGTTTTTGTGCTGCTCACCCTGTTTCAGCATGTAGGAGCAAAACTAATAAAATCCATGGTCCAAAGAGACGTTAGGGTACAGTAGTCCCTCACTACTTCGCGGATTCGCTATATAGCGGTTTTGCAAAGTAAGATTGGACATGACACAATTGGCTGATTGATGGATGAGCCATGGAATGTTCATTTAAAATAAATGATTTTAAATTATTTTTTAATGATTTTTCTTGGACTACAGTCTCCCTACTTCACAGTTTTTCACTTATTGTGGGGAGGCAGGGTACGGAACACCCGTGATAAACGAGGGACTACTGTATTCACCAGTTTGGATACAACTGTGATCATGCAGACTGCATGTGCAATGAATTTAGCTGAGCCCTGCATCAGAGTTGCCAGATAAATTTAAAATGTCTTATTTACACCCTCCTTTTCTGTGCACATGTTCAACAAATACAACACCCACCTCATCTTAGAATAACTTTACTGAGCACATATGACAGTTTAGGTCAAAATGCTATCATTTTAAAACCACAGTACGATAATTTATAATTTCTTATCTGGCAACCTGACTGACATGGAAACTACAGAGCTTTTGTGTAAACTCGCTCATGTTTTGTTTATTACCCCCAATAAACACTGAAATAACACTAACATTTCCAGAGGTTGTTCTTGTGAGAGTACCATCTGCTGCAGCTTCCCTCCAAGATGGCCGCCGATCATCACCACCTGACGGTCATCTACCTGACGAGGTCCTCTGCTACATAAGGCTGCAGTCAGATGATACTCGTTGCCAGAGCATTAGCCATTCATGGTACTCTATGTCTCTGGCCTGTGTTTGTATCTCGTGCTAAGATACTCTAACCATTTCTTGTGATTTCAGCTTACCTGCCTCCACGGATCTTGTTGTGTCTTGGTTCCCCTTCGGTCCTCTCCTGGTTCCTCATGCCTTGCCTTCCAGCCACTCGCCTGTTAACCTTCTTCTCTGGTGCCTGCTTTGGAAAAACCTTGGCCATCCTCCAACCTGTAAGATAAAACCACTGGATCAATATCTTCATTCTCATATTTCACAACCAGAGACACCTGACCCTCTCCTTCCTCCTCAGGGCTCCAGCGGATCTACTGTTGTTTAATTTACACTGTACATGAATATACACTGTTTATTTGTATCTCTGAGTCTTGCCTCGTTTCCTCGTCTCGCACCACTCTGGGTTCCCCGAGTCGTAACGGAAATGCTCCGGCCAAATAAGACCCAAAACGAGCCCATGGATGAGCAGGCTTCCTCTTCCCAGGAGGACCTCATTAACAAATTAGAAGAGATGCTTCAACAAGTCCTCACGCAACAACTACCCTCTCAGAAGAACATGCAGGAGCTCGGAGGTATGGTGTTCTGGATTAAAACTCGCCTCTTCTCCCACTGCAGCCTCTTCTGCTTCTCCAACGTCGAGTCCTTCCAGGATGGAACCTGACTTCAATACCTCGTCTCAGCAGGTAATCATTAAACCATCTGAATATTTCTCAGGAGACCTGGACCACTGTGGGGGGAGGGGGGGGGGGGTTCCTCCTTCAGTCAGATTTAAGTGAGCTCCCAAACTCTACACTACAAGCTTTGCCAAAATCACTTACTTCGTAAGTCAGCTCAAGGGCGACGCTCTCAGGTGGGCCAAATCATATTTACATTACCATGACCTAGATTCTGTGCCTTTTGCTTTGTTTTTGAAGGATTTTTGACTGTCCCCTGCGGGAAACCAATGCTGTAAAACGACTCGTAGGATTACGCCAGGGGCGACGACCCATTGCAGAACACGCCCTTGAGTTCCGCATCCTTGCTGCCCAGACGACTTGGAACAAATCTGCCTTACAAGGTACCTTTTTGAACACCCTGTCAGAACTTATTAAGGACCAAATCGCAGCTCGAGACGAGCCAGAGAGTTTCGACGAACTCGTGGACCTGGCGGTCGCCATAGACGAGCGCTTCCGGGAATACAAGAGGGAAAAGGACTACAACACCCAGAACCCCTCTACTTCCGGATTCACCAAATCACTAGGTGAGCATCACACATACAAACCCTCGAATACGAACTACAAGTCCCAGGCGCCCGACACTTCTGGGTTTAAAAATCCCCAGTTGGGTCCGTCTTCACACCCCCCTGCATTACCTGATCCAGAACCCATGCAGGTGGGGCACACTTGCCTCTCTCCTGAGGAGAGATTGCGGCGAATGAATTAAAACCCTTACATTTTTTGTGGGAATCCAGGCCACTTCTTGGCGAAATGTCCGTTGCAAGGAAATGAAAACACCCACCAGTTTAAAGGGAGATACTAGTGGGTACCTACGCTGTTTCTCCCCCAGCCCGACTTGAATTACCCACAATCCTACAAATTGACCAAAAACGTCTGCCTCTGTTAATTCTGGGTTATCCCTGGCTCAGAGAACACAAACCCAACATTGAGAGGGGTATTATATGCCCTTTCCACCTCACCTATAAGAGCGGGCATTTTCTTTGTCTCTAAAAAGGGATAAGACCCTGAGGCCCTGTATCGATTACCGTGGTTTAAATAACATCACCACCAAAAACAAGTACCCACTTCCCTTGATCGACTCTCTTCAGGAGCAGCTCCAGTCTGCCACTATCTTTTCCAAGCTTGATCTTAGAAACGCCTACCACTTGGTTTGAATTAAAGAAGGTGAGAGTGGAAGACTGCGTTCAGGACACCACTCGGTCACTTTGAATATCTTGTGATGCCTTTTGGTTTGACTAACGCTGTTTTTCAGGCACTTGTCAACGACGTTTTAAGGGATTTTAATGGGGACTTTGTGTTTGTCTACTTGGACGACATCCTCATCTATTATAAATTATTTCAATTAGAGAGAAAATTCTAACCACCTTTCCTTCTACTATCTCTAGTCCCCTGTCAAATGAGGCAACTTTAAAAATTTCACTAGAGTCTGATTTATGTTTGGACAGTTTTTGTCCTGTTGAGCTCTCTGAATTGTCAAAAATAATAACCTCATCCAAACCATCCACATGTCTGCTAGATCCCATCCCAACCAGACTGTTTGAAAAGGTATTTCCCCTAATGAATGTCCACATTTTGGATCTACTTAATTTGTCTTTAATGAATGGTTTCGTACCACAGCGCTTTAATGTTGCTGTAATTACACCTTTACTTAAGAAGTCTGACCTTGATTCAGAAATTCTGGCCAACTATAGACCTATATCTAACCTAACTTTCATCTCAAAAGTTCTAGAGAAAATAGTTGCAGGTCAGTTGTGTGAAAATCTACAAAGAAATAATCTGTTTGAAGAGTTTCAGTCAGGGTTTAGAGCTTATCATAGCACAGAAACAGCACTAGTAAAAGTAACTAATGATGTTCTCATGGCCTCAGACAATGGACTTGTGTCTCAGATACTGGTCCTGTTAGATCTCAGTGATGCATTTGATACAGTTGATCACAATATTTTACTACAGAAGCTTGAATATGATATTGGGATTACAGGAACAGCTCTAAAATGGTTTAAATCACATCTATCCGATAGATTCCAGTTTGTAAATGTAAATAATAAATCTTCTTCATACACCAAAGTTAGTCATGGAGTTCCTCAGGGCTCAGTGCGTGGGCCAATACTCTTTACTTTATATATGCTACCATTAGGTAAAATTATTAAACAGCATGGGATAAATTTTCATTGTTATGCTGATGACACACATTTATATTAGTCCATTAAACCCAATGAATCCAATCAGATACTTAGACTACAAGCATGTCTTAAAGACATAAAAACCTGGATGACCCTTAATTTTCTCCTGTTGAACACAGACAAGACTGAGGTTTTGATTTTTGGACCTGAGCACCTTAGGAATGAATTTTTCAGTCTTTCTCCCTCCTTAGATGCATTAATCTGTCCTCCAGCTCTAATGTTAAAAAATCTTGGTGTTATCTTTGATCAGGACATGTCTTTTATCCCACACATTAAAAACGCTACTAGAACTGCCTTCTTCCACCTGCGTAATATCACTAACATTAGAAACATCTGATCTAAAGATGATGCAGAAAAACTGGTCCATGCATTTGTCACGTCTAGACTAGACTGTTGCAATGGTTTATTATCTGGATGTCCAAATACTTCCTTAAAACATCTTCAGTTGATCCAAAATGCTGCTGCCAGAGTCAACTTGAATTAATAG